TCAAACACTATTCTACTATCTAAATCTATAATTCCATAACTACATCAAACATATTAACGATTTATATTTACAGTTATAAGTTATAATTTGTTAACTTATAATTTATAATCACATTTTCACTGTTCTACCAAATGCAGCCATTGACGTTTTGGTTTTATATTTAAAAAATGAATAATATTATATGCACTAATTAATGTGACAATTAATTATGTAATATAATTTAAAAAAAATTTAATATTTATAATATGATTAAAATAATATTATAATGAATATATTAATTAATACATCCGGTACCACCGTTAAAAAAATTTGAACTAGTTTTCGAGAAAAGCTAGTTTGCAAATTCAAAACAACAATGATTCATCCCACTAAAAATATCACCACTAATAGCACTAATACATTAAAAAAGTAAAAAAAAAAAAAATACAACTCCAAAACTAAAATATTACATCATTAATAACAGAACCCACTGCCACCTAATTAGTGGGAGCACTAATTAGTGCTCCCAAACATTTTTCATTTCAAAAAGTACTTTCTATCTCACTATCTCTCTTCACGTGAACAAATGGAATTTCCAACACGCGTCCACCCTGCGTGCTGGCGCACGTCTCCCCCTGTCCACCCCTCCCCCAAAAAGCAACTCCATCCTCTCTTTCTCTATATCCATTTTTAAATAATGCTTTGGACCCTCAGTGGGGTATTGGGGTAACCTCCCATTGGTTCAAAAAAAACAGTTTTTTTTTTTTTTTTGTTTTGAGTTTTCAGCCAACCCCAGGCCGACACGTGGCACTGGGGTAACTGGGGGTCACCCCCACTGGGGGTCTGTACCATTGCTGATCCATTTTTATATTATTTATCTATCTATATCTTCTGCATTATTATAGAAGTGAAGCATTTTCATAAAGGATCATATTTTTTTAAAAAAAACCCCCAAAACGACGTCGTTTTGGGGGGCTGCCGGGTAGGGCCGCCGGGTAGGGCGGCCGAGGATCCGGATTCCTCCCCCTCTCCTCCCCTCCCCCAAAAAGCAACTCCATCCTCTGTTTCTCTCTATCCATTTTTATATTATTTATCTATCTATATCTTCTGCATTATTATAGAAGTGAAGCATTTTCATAAAGGATCATATTTTTGAGTTTTTTTTTTATATAGAAAATATCCCTACTATCATTTATATGGATAATTATGCATTAATTTTTTAAAAAAAAATCTCTCAACTTTTATTTCAAATTCATTTAAAATTTAAGTAAAACAATTTATAATTTTATTTTTTTAAGTAAAATAATTTTATTTTTAAAATAATAATTTTTTTAAGTACACCATAATTTCTAATTTATATATAAATCTACACCTGAAATGATGTAAAATGTTACATTTTTTATTTTTTAGTTTTCAAAATATTCTCTTTTAAATTACATATAACTTCTTATCACAAGAAATTAAATTTTAAATCAATATATATATATATATATTTATAATTTTAACAACATACGTGGTACCTGTTTGGAAAGTTAAATTTGGGCTAAAATAGTTAATAAAGATAAAATTATTTAAAAGCATCCGCATCAGTCTCAACAAATTTTGAGTCAAATCATAAAAAAAAATCTACTTTTGTTGTTTTAGCTAGTCACTTTTTTAGTATTTATTCCATCAAACTCTCTATTCTAACTCAATCTTATTAAAATATTAATTTTTTATTGTATTTGTTATTATTTATTTTTTTATTAAATTGATGAGATGCCACCCAAACAATTCTTAAAAAATACCCAAAAAAAAATGCTGTTGACCGGCAGGTTGACCGGCCGGTCGACTGGTTAGGCTAATTTTGGGTATTTTTCTTTTTCTGCTACAGGCACTCACGGGACATCCGGTAGGATATCCGGGAAGACATCTTGGTGGACGACCGATTTAATGATTTTGGCCCAGTTTTGCTATAGAAAATATAATAAAAAATCATGTAGCTAATGAACAGTAACTCAACAAAGTTGTTGAGGTACTGTAGCAAATTTAACAAAAAGTTAATTTAGAAAAAAATTGTTGAGACTAATGGATGAAGAATTTTATGATTTACTAGCAATATTTTAACTTTTTATTATTTTGCCTCAATTGATGTGGATGCTCTAAAATAGTCAATAAGATAAAATAGTATATTTGAATTATAATTATTTTATTTTTTCTCTTATAACTATCAAATCAACTATAAAAAAAGCAAATATCTTCCTAAAATCAAGCTCCAAAAAATCAAAAAATTAACTAAAGCAACATATTTCCAAACAAGACCTTATCAAGTCTTTGTTTGACATTGGTTTTTTTAGCTGACTTTTTTGTGTTGGGACTTTTTCAGCCTCATTTGGCTTGATTTTTTTGACTTTTGTGAGAGAAATGCATAATGATTATAGTTTAGATGTGACGTTTTATTTTATTAGCTTATATAACTAATTTTGTCTTTTTATATTTTTTTTGGCAAAAAATCTAAAACCAAACGAAACTCAAGTGTACAAACCACTACTCATACAAATTTTATTTCTAAATTATTCTTGTACAACTACACCTATATAATTATTCAAATTTTGATAAGATTAATAATTCATCCACTGAATTTGTTTAGCTTGAATTTATCTAAATAAATCTCTTCCCAAAACAGAAACTCTCATATGCAAATAAAAAATTATAGATAGAAAAGTATTGACACAAAACGCACAAATTTGAGACAGAGCACAATCGCATTTTGGCAAGTTAGTTAAAAATCAACTTTTTGATATTTTGGATTTTTTGAGTCATATTATCTTTTTAATTTTTTATACATTTTTTCAAAAAAATTTGAAAGTTAACTTTTCAAACTAATTTTTCAAAATAACTCATAATAAGAGAAATTATAACTCAATATATATATATATATATATATGATTTCAAAACAAATTTTAAATAAGTGATAAAATTTAGGAAAAATATAAAATCAATAGGACAGTCAAAGATTATTTATTTTTTTATGATGGTATAATTATGTGCATAATATAAATCCTCTATGGGTTTGTTTGATTGGACGGACTGGATAAGGAGGATTAGAATCTATCAGACTTGAGTCTTGGGACTGTGAATCCCCCGGACTATTTGGTTGGATTGGATATGTATCCTGTGTTTGTTTTTTCATGGGATTAGATATCTGAAAATGACTATTTTTAGTGAATCCAACGTTTGGTTGGACGAATTGGACATGATAAATGAACAAAAGACTATTTTACCATTTTTCAATTGTTTACTAAGTAATAGCAATATTAAACATATCTTTAATATTTTAATTATTCTTAGCTAGATTAAGGCCTCGTTTGGGAACATACTAATTTAGTAACTTTTTTGCTATTTGGCTAAAAAGGTAGGTAAAAAAAACTTGTATGTTTGTGATGACTTTTTGGCTAATTACGAAAAGATGTGCAAAAAGTAGAGAGAAAAGAGAACCTTTGACTTTTTAGTATGAGTTGTTGGCTTTTTGGCTAATTTTAGTAACTTTTTGACTAATTGGCTAAAAAAGTAAGTCCCCAAACGGGGCCTAAATAAAAAATTATTTTATTTTATTTTTTACACAATTAAATAAATTTATTTTTTTTTAAAAATAAATAAAATATCAATAAAAATTTATATTATTTTTTTAATTAAAATTTTAAATAAATTTGTTTTTAAAAATAATAATAATTAAACAATGAAATTAAATAAAACATCTATTAACATTTAAATAATGAAATTAAATAAAATATAAACAAAATTTTAAAATAAAACATCAATAAAATATCTATAAAAAATTATTTAAAAATAAATAAATAAAACATCAATAAAAAGTTAAATAAAATTATTTTATTTTTAAATTGAGACATTTAAATTTTATTAAATTTTATTAAATATAATACATAATTAAATAGTAGATGGTCAAAATAATCATTTCACCATCTAATCCCAACAATAAATAATTCCCAAATTATCCCACCTCTCCTAGGATAATATAATCCCCATATGGGGATAAGGAGTCCGGCCGGACTCCATGTCTGACGGACTAAAAAAAAATCAAACGGCAGATAAAGAACACTATTTAAATTACAATCTAAATAGTAGATAGTCCCTCCTAATCCAGCGAATCAAACACGCCCTATGTGCATGATACAAGTCATCGCTATGCGTTAGACTTCTACCCAAAAAAAAAAAAAATTCATTTCTAATGTAATAATTTATATTATTGATTTCATATTTTCTTAAAACTTGTCAATTTCTGAAGTTATTTACCTTGTTTGGTTCTATTTTTTTAAAAATAGTTTTCAGAAAATTTTACTTTTTTATTTTTATTGAATTTTTTTAATATTTTATGCAAATTTTTACTTTTTAGACACACCTAACATAAATACACCTAAAAAGTAAAAAATTGTAAAAAAAGTCTTTTAAAAATTTACAAAATATCAAAAATACAAAAAAATACAAGAATTCAGTACATTTTTTTATATTTTTATGTATTTCTTAATTTTTTAAAATATTTTTTCACAATTTTTTTACTTTTTAGATACATCTAAGTAAGGTGCATCTAAAAAAATAAAAAAAAATGTTTAAAATTTTAAAAAATTCACTAACAACAAAAAAATACAAAAACTAAAAAACTCAATTTTTAAAAAATTTAATTCAGAAAACTCAAACCAAACACACTGATTAATTTTTTTAATATTGAAAAGTTATACATTTTAATAGTTGTCATTTTTAAGAAAAATGCCTAACACTCTAGTGGGAGTCACTGGGTCGTGTGTGTAGGAAGGTGATTGGCCCAAAAACCAAATTATTTTTTTTTTTTTCCAGCGAATGAGGCGGTGCCACTGGGGGTCGACCCCAATGCGGTCTGAAGCACGGCCTTATTTTTAAACACAATTATTTTATTTTCTTTTTTATAATTATCAAATTATTTATCCAACTTTAAAATAATTAAAAGCTCAAAAATCAATTATATATGATGTTCGCATCACAATCCCCAAGAAACCCTTTTCTCATTCCCTTTCCCACCGTTCATACTCTCTCCTAGCACAACAACCACAACCACAACCACAACCAGGGAGAGAGAGACTTCCGGAAACCCCCTCATCGATCCTCTCTCTCCTCCAACAATGTCGACGAAGACGGCCACCACCACTCTCCTCTTCTCCATCCTCTGCATCGGCGTCTTCTCCGTTGCAGACTCCGCTCACTCCCACTCTCACGCCGCCGCTCCGGCGCCGGCCGTCGACTGCTCGACCCTGGTCCTCAAGATGGCCGACTGCCTCTCCTACGTCACCAACGGCAGCACCGTCAAGAAGCCGGAGGGAACTTGCTGCTCCGGCCTCAAAACGGTGCTCAAATCTAACGCCGAGTGTCTCTGTGAGGCATTCAAGAACAGTGCTCAGTTCGGTATCACTTTGAACATTACCAAGGCCTTGGCTCTCCCCACTGCTTGCCATCTCTCTGCTCCTTCTGTCAGTAACTGTCGATGTAAGTCTTTCTTTTTCCCTAGAAAATTTGTTTGAATCTGATGGAGTGATGCTAGACACCCCAAATAATCTGCCAAAAGTTTTAGCAAATCTCTCACACACCCATATGAGTTTTGGTAAAACATTTAGTAGATTATTTGAGGGTCTTGCATTTTCCTTTTTTATATGATGGGGGTAGTTTCGTCAATTTACCAACAGCCAACTGGGTTTTATTTTGTTTCGTTTGGCGGTGTTTGGAAAGTTGGATTTTTTTTTTATTTTTTTTTGACTAAAAGACGAACATTTTGCAAAATAAAAAAAATAAATCCAAATAAAATATCACATTTAATCTCATAATATATGTATTTTGTTTTACAAACATCCCATCCAATCATAAAAAAAATTCTAACTATCTTTTTAAACACTAAAAAATTTTTTATCCAATAATATCCTACAATTAAAAAATCAACAATGATTCATCCCCTTTTCCTTTCACCCCTCTCATTGGTTTTATTTTATTTTTTTTTTTCAATCACCCCGTCACGTGGCGGGTGAGGGCTGACCCAAAAGGGGTTCAAGCATTATTCTTAAAAAAAACGTACAAAAAAATCCACTCCCAAACACCCACTTTCTTTCTACCTGTGCTTTTGTAGTATTTAAACCCCCTTTGTTCTGTTTGTTTCCCAAGAAAATATTTGTTTTGAATGACATTTCTTCCTTGAACCCACTTCTGTCTGTGACGCAAGCGTTTCAGTTTCTCTCTCTCTCTCTCTCTCTCTCTCTCTCTCTCTCTCCTAGAAAATTTTTAGTGATAAAATTTTCCTGGGTTGCCTGGGCAATGTTGTTATATGATGTGGGTAATTTCGTCAATTTACTAACAGCCAATAGAGCCTTTTTCTACCCGGGTTTGTATTTCACCCACTTTGCTCTGTTTGTTTCCCGAGAAAATATTTGTTTTCGAAGACATTTATCTTTCCGTCAACAACTGTGGGGTGTAAGTCTTTTCACGGTCGCTCTTTTTTAAAACGAGCAAATGTTTAGAGAGAAATTTTCCTGGGTTGTTTGGCCAATGTTTTATATGATAGGGGTAATTTCGTCGATTTACCAACAGCCAACAGAGCCTTATTTGGTTTTTCCTGCTAGTTTTCTGATTTGTTTATTTTTTTGGTGTATTTTTTTTAACACGAAATAGTGTCTACTTTCTACCCTTTGCTAGGCTGTATTGCATTCCCTTTGATTTGTTTGTTTCCCAGGAAAATATCTTTGTGCGGTTGTTTTGAAAGAACCCATTTTTGGCCACTTTTCTATTCCCAGAAAACATTTTCCATTTGAATTATTATTTTTTTTTTTGAGATTTATTTGTTCTCATATCGCTCTGTTGAACACAATCATGCATGTTTGGATGGATGTTTACAAAATTGGTTTTATTTATTTATTTTTATTTTTTTGCAGCGAGTCTTGTCGCCGGTGCTGCTCCTGGTATGTTTTTTTTCCCCTATCCGATCTCTCATTGATATGCCATCTGTTTCATTTATTTATTTATTATTTGATTTGCAATCACAATTTACCTATTTAGGCTGTGTTTGGATTTAGGATTTGAGGAAGCTTAATTTTTATAACGTTCCTTTCTCTTTTCCTTTCACAAATCCTAGATCCAAACAGTCTTACTGATGTCAATGTATATTTGTATTTTATTCTTTAGTGCCTTGTTTTCTGCTGATCTAAAGGAAAATATTGAAGTTATGCATGCTGACTCTATATTTATTTATTTATATATCCAACAAAACAATTGAATTTGAAATACTTGCATTTCTAGTTTATGATTATGTGTTACATTTTGTGTTTTGTTATTGTTGGACAAAGGCCCTAGCATATCCCAAACCCAAGCATATTGTTACGTGTAGTCGTGCATAACTTCATGAAACAACATGCCTTTGGTAAATTAGTTCCAAAGACCTCGTGTTTGATAAAAAAAAAAATTTCAAAGAATTCAGGTTTCGTAAATAACTCTTAATTGGCGAAAGTTATTAGTGCCGTGTAACGTGGTCATGTCACAAATGAATATCAACCATTTATTTGTGTGAGTCTATGCAAATGAATCTCAACTATTTATTTGTGTGGTTCACACAAATGAATGATTGAGATTCATTTGTGGCATGGTCACGTCACACGACATTCAATAACTTCTCATAAGAGCATCTACAATGTGTGTAAGGGTTTTTTAGTTTAGAGCATACACAATGCACACGCTGAGGTGTGCATTAGTGTCAAAAGCCAAACTGTTTGTAGGTTGAAATTCAGGTCCAATGGAGTTGTTAACCTCTTTGTTAACTTTGTCAATGTTAATTGTGGTGAGTAGTTTAATGGGTAGAGCAGAGTTCCTTCTTTTCTCTCTCGTCCTCTACCCGCTAAACCATTGGCTATAGTTAGCTTGCTCTGTAACACCTCACAGCATTGTTAATTGCTCCCTTGCATGAGAAAAAATGCAAATCATTGTTAACTAGTTTGGCCCCTTATAATTGAGAGGCAATAATTATGCTCCAAATAAAAAAATAAAAAGAAGCAACTTTCACTCCACCCTTTCTCATATAGGCAAGTGCAAGTGACTCTTTTTTTGGAGTGCATTTATAATTTACTATTTTTTTCAATTCAAAATGATTGTATTTTAAACACGTAGCACATGTGGGATCCCGAACCTTGTAGCTCTAGGAAATACAAATATTATCAATTTTTGGCCGAATGAATATTTCTAACTATATGCTTCCATTGTGCTATATTTTTAGTACTAATGGGGTAACAAGCTTGTTACCAAAATTTCTGATGGCTTAGGAAGTACAATAAGGCCTCGTTTGGGAACTCTCCCTTTTAGTCAAAAAGTCAAAAAGTCAAAAAGTTACTAAATTAGTTAAAAAGCCAACAATCCATACTAAAAAGTCAAAAATTCTCTTTTCTCTCTACTTTTTGCACATTTTTTCGTAAAAAGTCAAAAAGTCATCCCAAACATACTAGTTTTTTTTAGCTCATATTTTAGCTAAATAACCAAAAAGTTACTAAATTAACCTGTTCCTAAACGAGGCCTAAGTCTACAAATATAAATAATCCTACTAAAATTCTTATTAAATGTAGATATGGCCAAACGTAGATTAAGATTCATTACTTAATGTAATGGATTACAATATGTGGTGTTCTGGAAAGTTGATAAAAAGTTGATTTTTTGGTTTTTTTTTGGCTTTTTTGTGTAAAAAAGCTAAAAAGTTAAAAAGTTAGCTTTTTATGAAGTTCCAAAAACACCGAGCATAGAGAGATCTAGATCCGGCAAACATGAGTGGTTGCTTGGTTGCTTAGTTATCAATGCTATGAGTTCATTTTCTGAATAACCAATCATATTTGGCGATGTATGCATTATGGTTTGGCATACCCAAAAAAATTCAAAAAGTTAAAAAGTTATTAAAAAGTTAAAAAGTTATCACTATTCACAAAAAAAAAATATATATTAATTTTACACAATTATTACAAACAACTCTGACGTCCCCACAGACACAAAGTTGACTTTTTTGAAAAAATTGCACAGGCGGGGTGCACAAACAACACGGTGCTGTTCGGTCTGTGGGGGCCCATCATGGTGGGGGCCCATCATGGGTCATGTTTTGATAATTCGTCGAGTACTATATGCCTGTAAAAAATTACATTGATTAGATATTGTTAACTACATGATCAAATCAACGTATGGTGTTATAGTTAACGGTTGAAAAAAAATTAATTCGATCAGATAGCTATCAATATCCGATCAACGTCATTTTTTACGAATATATAGTATTCGATGAGTTCTATACATTGAACGATTCTGATTAGCAAAACAGGACCCGTGGTGGGTCCTCACGGGCCAAACAGCACCGTTCAATTCAATGTCCGAAAAAGAGAGAACCATCTCCTAGCCTATACTCTGCACACGTTGCCCCTTAGGACATCCTACCGTACTTCCTATTTTATCCCAATCTTCTCCTATACACTAATTATACAATTTTTTAATATATATTTTTTCGTAAAAAGTCAAAAAGTTATCTCAAACAATCATATTTTTTTTTCCCATAACTTTGTAGTCCAAAAAGTGTGGGGTTGTTTGGAATGTCCTAAATAAGTATACTTTTTGACTTTTTGGACTAAAAAATTAAGGAAAAAAAAGATGGTTGTTTGAAATAACTTTGTTTTTTTACGAAAAAATATATATTAAAAAATTGTATAAATTAATGTATAGGAGAAGATTGTGATAGAATAGGTAGTATGGTGGGATGTCCTAAGGGGCAGCGTGTGCAGAGTATAGGCTAGGACATGGTTCCCTCCTTTTCAGGCATTGAATTAGACGGTGTTGTTCGGCCTGTGAGGGCCCACCACGGGTTCCGTTTTGCTAATTAGAACTGTTCAATGTGTAGAACTCATCGAGTACTATATGTTTGTAAAAAATCACGTTGATCGGATATCGATAGCTATCTGATCGGATTAGTTTTTTTTCAACTGTTGACTATAACACCATTCATTTTTTTATACAAAACTGATTTGATCATGTAGGTAGTGATATCCGATCAACGTAATTTTTTACAGGCATATAGTACTCGACGAGTTTTACACATTGAACGATTTAGATTATCAAAACGGGACCCAGCCGAACAACACCGTGTTGTTTGTGCACCCTGCCTGTGCAAATTTTTTCAACAAAGTTAGCTCTGTGTCTTTGGGGACATCAGAGTCGTTTGTAATAGTTTTGTGTAAAATAAATTTTTTTATATTTTTTTTGGTAAATAGTTACAACTTTTTAACTTTTTTAGGCCAAGTTTGGCATGATTGAAAAAAGACAAAAAGTCAAAAAGTCACTATCCTATTTAAGTCACATCATCTTATTTAAGTCACATCACCTCTCTAACACATCACTTCAAACCCAACCCAAACCCAACCCATATTTCATAAAAAGTCAAAAAGTACACTTATTTAGTCTTCCCAAACTAGGCCTTAGTAACTTTTTAGCATTTTGCATTTTTTTGGGTATGCCAAACCATAGTGGGTTGTTTGGAGTGTCTTAATAAGTGTATTTTTTGTCTTTTTAGACTAAAAAGTTGAGGAAAAAAAGATGGATGTTTGGGTTAACTTTTTGTCTTTTTACAAAAAAATTGTATAAATAAGTGTATAGGAGAAGTAAGTGTAATAGGCTGTACGACACCTTTTTTTGGCAGAGTGTAGGAGATAAGGACATGATTGCCTTTTTCGCGGACAACTATTTGGACTGTGTTGTTCGGCCCGTGGGTTTCACCACGAGTCCATTTTGATAATCTGAATCGTTCAATATGTAGAACTTGTCGAGTACTATATGCCTGTAAAAAATCACATTGATCGGATATCAAAATCACATTTGATTGGATTAGTTTTTGTTCACTAGTTAACTATAACACCATCTGTTTTTTTTATACAAAACTGATTTGATCATATAGGCCTGGTTTGGCATGTCTTGAAAAAGACAAAAAGTCAAAAAATTACTTAAAAAGTTAAAAAGTTATCACTATTTTCAAAAAAAATAAATTTACACAAAAAAATACAACTCAACTTTTTGCTGAAGTGATAGGCTATCTGCGTGATTGGTTTGCTGTACTGGTCTAGAAATGATTGCCTCCTTCGCGGGCAACCATTTAAACTGTGCTGTTCGGCCCGTGGGGGCCACCACGGGTCACATTTTGGGAATCTGAACCGTTCAATATGTAGAACTCGTTGAGTACTATATGGCTGTAAAAAATCACGTTGATCGAATATCGCTAACTATATGATCAAATCAGTTTTGTATAAAAAAAATGGTGTTATAATTAACTGGTGAACAAAAACTAATTCAATTAATGTGATTTTGGTATCCGATCAATGTGATTTTGGTATCCGATCAATGTGATTTTTTACAGGCATATAGTACTCAATGAGTTCTATATATTGAATGGATTAGATTATCAAAATAGGACTCATAGTGGGCCCCATTGGCCGAACAACATAGTCTAAATGGTTGTCCGCGAAGGAGGCAATCATGTCCTTATCTCCTATACTTTGCCCAAAAAAAAGTGTCGTACAGCCTATTACACTTCTGTTATACACTTATTTATACAATTTTTTATAACACATGTTTTTGTAAAAAAATAAAAAGTTAACTCAAATATCAATATTTTTTTCCTCAATTTTTTAGTCCAAAAAGTGCACTTATTTAGGACACCCAAACAATCCTATAGTTTGCGATATCCGATCAACGTGATTTTTTACAGGCATATAGTACTTAACGAGTTGTACATATTGAACGGTTTATATTATCAAAATGTGACCCGTGGTGGCCCCCACGGGCAGAACAACACAGTTTAAATGGTTGCCTGCGAAGGAGGCAATCATTTGTAGACCAATAAAGCAGACCAATCACGCAGACAGCCCAGCACTCTAGCAAAAAGTTGAGTTGTATTTTTTTTTGTGTAATTTTTTTTTTTTGTTTTGAATAGTGATAAGTTTTTAAGTAATTTTTTGACTTTTTGTCTTTTTCAAGACATGCCAAACCAGGTCTTAGGCTTTTTCCTAGAATGCGAGTATGCCAATCCTCCTAAGCCTATTGACGTCACTGATAACATTTGAAATACATATGACATTTGCTAGCTGTAATGTAATCATGTTAAATGATGTCAAGATTTTTAGTAACAAGCTTGGTAATTACAAACCGCATTACAACACAAGCGGTATGTTGTTGATTCAAATGTTTAAATCTATATTTGTTTTTGTGTCAAACTTTGTTGAGTTTTTGTGATTGAGATGTTATCAAGTACTTGGTAAACTCAAAATAATTCACATAGTTTTACTAATGTAGGTTTCCCACCAATAGAATGCATGACAGTTTTTGAAGGAAAATGTTATGAATAAACGAATTTCTTGTTAGATTTTTTTTATCACTAGACACAAATGCAATGGCTACCACATGTATTTATTAATGTGAGTTCCACTATTTTTGTTTCTAGTGGTAAGAGAATTTGGTAAGAAATCTGTTTATATATAAAATTATTCTTTTTTGAAAGAACTATTTCTTGAAGGATTATGTATATGCTTAAATGTTGGTACGTGCTACCAGTTTTTGGGGTGAATTATTATTTGTACTGGTTCAGTTTGTTTTATACATGCATTCCTTTTCCAATTACTTATGCTTCCAATCCCATCTTTGGATTCGGAGTACCTTTCAGCTTTGATTTCAGCTTGGATTCGGAAATCAATTAATGGAATCATGTATGTTATTGGTGTGTGATGCAGCTATTTCTCCAGCTCTGAGCCCATCTGCAGGCACAAATGAGCTTGCTCCGGCACCGGTTGCAGGGGTCTCTGGTTCTGCTGCACTTGCCGTTTCGATTGGATCCCTTATTGTGGCTCTAGTGGCTGCATCATTTTCTTTTATTTAACTATTACAGGTTGTTGAGAAGAGATGAGAGAGGACAAGAGGGACTTTTGTGATGTTTTTGTCTGTTGGACTTGTTATTGCCGTACTCCGTAATAGTATTATTAGGGTTTTTTTTTTGATGTGAGAGAGAGTAGATAAGTATTATTATTCATTCTGTTGAGTTGCTTTTACTAACCATGTATGACACTTGGATGATATGCCTATGTTGCTATATTTCTTGTATTAGTTCTTATATGTTGTCTCATGTTTGTTTGTTTGTTTTTTTGGTAGACCGTCCTAAGTGTTTGGTTGAGAGATTTGGTTGAGAGATTTGAGAAATAATTTGAAACAACAATGATTCATCCTCCCTTTTCTCTCACTCCCTTTGACCCCCTCTCTCTCTCATTGGTTACATTACCACTCGTCACGTGGCAATGGGGGGTGAGGGGTGACCCCCAAAAGGGGATCCCAAGCATTATTCAATTTGAAAATGAAGAAACGAAAATTTGAATTCTATATTTTACTTAGTTTTATACATTCTCTTCATTTTTTTAAAAAAATTTCTTCACAAATTTCTTAACTAAGCATAGTATAAAGCACATATTGGAACACATTTTGAAGTTTGTTATCTTTATGTTTTGTTTGTTCTGGTGGAAAAATATTTTCCAATGAAAAAAGTTTTTGATGGATTAAAACACAATTTTAGGAAATTTTACTAGTAGTTTTTGTTTTGATTCGTTTGGTGAACTTCACAAGGTGTTAGAGAAAATGTAAAGGAAAACACCCTGATTACAATTGAAGGTGGACGCAGAGATGAGAACACACTTTTGAAAAGACAAAAAGTAATGAATAAAAATACATCACAATAAAGTGTCAAGCTTAACCAAAAGAAGTGTATGTACAACCTTTAACCCTTTGCCTTCTCACCTACTATCTCCATTTGGGCACACTCAAGCCACCACTGTCATTTACAGTTCAATTTCTCAATCTTCTTTTGAGACTCTTTCAAAACACATGGTTGCAATATTATCATTCTATCATGCCGAAGCACGTTGAAATAATTTTGAGTGTTTCTTTTTAAAAGTTTGTTTGAATCGACGTTGATGATGCATGGGATGATGGTTTTGTTTGTTAAGCTAGGAAATGTTCTTGCATCTTAGGAGAACAAGTTAAGACAGCATCTGCAACTGTGAGGAAGATGTTGTCTTCCCCAACCAAGGTTGCAAAGTCGGATGCATGGAGCTTGTCAATCACAGCTTGCCCCGGATTTGCTAGTACTAGCTGTTTTAAGATAAAAATAAAAAAACAACTTAAGCTATATATGTAAATATATCATCATAAATCATCAATGTTTTGTTCGTGGGTAAATTACAAATATACCCTTGACGTTTGATTAAAATACGAATCGTCCCCTGTAGTTGTAAAAATTACATTTCACCTCCTGAGATTTTTAATTTCATAACAAATTGTCACCTCTATCAATAATTTATCAAGTCAATTAACAGATTTTAATGATGTTAAAAATATCTTTCAATTAATAATTTAGTTAATTTTATTATTGTATAGGAGAGCAATTATGAATTTTATTTTTTAAATCACAAGGGGATATTTAAATTATGACAAAGGGATATTTATAATTTTTTAAATCACAAAAGATAATTTATATTTTAAAAAATCCTCAAGAGGTGCGCACCTACAACATTCTGATTCATCTTCAGTGTTTGAACATGGTTTTGAAGTCTAACCATGTCCTCTTCTTTTTAGGCGGCGAAAATTGCTTTTAAAAATATCTTGGGCCAATGATCTATACCACTCTTGAGATTTAGTTAAATTATAGATTTTTTCTTAAAATTTTAAAAATTACATCTCGTTTTCGAGATTTATATTCGCATAATAATTCAACTCCTACCGTTAACTAAACGTTAACAATGATTAAATAACATCACTAAAATATAAATTTATGTTTTTAGAACCATGTTTGATTTGTTGTTTAGAAAAAAAATAAAAACTAATTTAATAAAAATAAATATGAAAAAATATATTTATATTTAATTTATAAAAATTATTTCTAACCCCTCAAAAGATAAAATTATATAAAAATAAAAATTATTTTTTATTTTTTTATTTCTTAACCAAATTAATTTTAATTTAAAAAAAAATTAATTTTTTTTTTCTAAAAATCAAACCAAACATATTCTAAAATTTTTTTAGGGGTGAAATGAATGTAAAAAGCTAAAAATAAAGAGTATGGGTGTGTTTGATTGGATGAACTAGATAAGGAGAATTAGAATCTATCGGATTTGAATCCTGTGACTGTGAATCCCTGGACTATTTGGTTGGATTGGATATGTATTCTGTGTTTGTTTTTTCATGGGATTAAATGTCTGAAAATGACTATTTTAGTGAATTTAATGTTTGGTTGGACGGATTGGATATGATAAATGAACAAAAGGCTATTTTACTCTTTTTCAATTGTTTACTAAGTAATAACAATATTAAACATATCTTTAATATTTTAATTATTTTTAGCTAGATTATATAAAAATTTATTTTATTTTATTTTTTACACAATTAAATAAATTTATTTTTTTAAAAATAAATAAAATATCAATAAAAATTTATATTATTTTTTTAATTAATTTTGCATTTCATAACTTATTTAAAAATGATAATTTAACTAAACTTGAGAGGGAATCTGTAATTTAGTTAAACCATAGAGGAGAATCTGTAATTTAACTAAACCTTAAGAGGGTGCAGGTAATTTATCCTTATTTGTCAAAAGGACATTTTAGTCAATTTATAATATCCGTTAATGACGTTAATTGTAATGGGACGGAATGTAATTTTTAAAACTTCAAAAGAAAATTTGTCATTTTGTTAAATTTCAAATAAGGTGTATGTAGTTTGTCCAAATATCTTCTACATAAAATATTTTTGTGTTTGGTTAAGACCATAAAAATGACATGTTAGTGGTTGGTAATGGTTAGTGGTGATGGTGGTGGCCATAATGATAGTGGTGGTGGTGGTGAATCCGGAGTCGGCCAAGGGTTAGGCCTCCCTCGTTGACTCATAGCCCCACTTGTATGTGACATTAAACCTGTGTTGTTAAGTGATTGGATGGTTGTAGACGTTAAGATAAAATACATAATCGTCCATCTCTGATAGATGCTTAAAACTGTGTCTGATAAATCTAAAAAAAAAAGAGACTGGAATGTGGAGTATTGTCAAGTATGAAAAGATTGCTCTTTCTTTTCCTTTGTTTTTTCCCATCTTGCCAATCAGAGACTAACATGTTAATACAAATTTGAAGTCAAGGAATCACCACTTGCTTCCTAAGCTCTTGTCATTGAATTTGATTCTCAATTTTTGCATAAACTCAATATTATAGAATAATTTGATGAAATTGAGTATAAATTTTAACAAAATTTTATTTTTTTTAATGAATTTGAAATGAAATTGAGCCCAATTTCGAAAGTATTTTTGGATTTCACTGCATTTTTATTAAAGAAATTCAACTGTTAGTGAGTGATTTATGTGATTAAGTTGAGCTAATTTATTATTTTATTTATTAATTGAAATTGGATTAAAACATTATTATTATACCTGAACATCTTTCTTGTGGAGACTGCGATATAATTCTTCCAAGGCATGGATGCCACTAGTATCTATATCAGTAACAGCTGCAAATAACACAAAATGATCATAATAATACCACTTAATCTAATGAGTTTAGTCATCCAAAAATAAATAAATATATATATAGGAATGAGAGGCATTGTTAAAAATTGCTTACGAGACATTTCAACAATTAGATATTGAATATTGGGTTGGTTGTTTTCTTTTACTTCTTCCTCCTCATCAATTAGCCATCTCAAAATCCTGCACCCCAAAAAAAAAATAAATAAATAAAAATAAGTGTTATGAATACTAAGGGGTTGTTTGGGGTGTCCTAAATAAGTGTACTTTTTGTCTTTTTAGACTAAAAAATTGAGGTTGAAAATACGAATGTTTGGGTTAACTTTTTGACTTTTTATGAAAAAATGTGTAATAAAAAATTGTAAAAATTGGTTTGTAGGTGAAAATTAGAATTGAGAGTTGTGCAGCCGTAATTGTTGACTTTTGATGAATAGTGATAACTTTTTAACTTTTTGAGTAACTTTTTAACTTTTTAACTTTTTAACTTTTTTGAGACTTTCCAAACTTAGCCTAAAGCATGTCAGATATGTTTTTATTACTCCCATTTCTACTTGCCAACCCATACATCTCTCAGGCTTAAATAAATCACCAAAAATTGTTTTCACTTGTTTTGAAAACAATTTTTCCTTCTTTCCTCCCTCCCTCCCTCTCCACCCTGTCTAACCACCATCTCCGGCCGACAATCACAGTTTCATTTGAACAAGCAAAATTTTCAATAGAAATTGGAACAAGAAGGCCAAGTTAATGGGGAGAAAAAATTATACAAATCCTATCTAAAAAAAGTTGACTGCCAAACTGTCTGGGCTTATTTGGGTCTTTTTTTTTTGTTTTTAAAACCCAAAAAGCAAGCTTTTAGCCAGTTGGCCTCAATATAATTGGACACCAAAACAAAGAAGCCAACAAAATGAAAATGCCAGCTGAAAGAGCTGACTTGCCAAACAGTCTTGGCTTATTTGGTATTTTGGTTTATTTAACCAAAAAGCCAGCTTTTAAAGGCCAGTTTGGTAGGTTTTTTTTTTTTTTATAATTTGTTTTTTAAATTTTTTGAAAAGTGGAAACAAAAATACATAAGAAAAAGATATGTTATCACATATTTTCAAAACAAGTTTCCTTCAAATATCTCAACTCTTACAATATGGAGAAGATTTAAAAAAAGGCCAAGAGCATTTATACCTCTCCTTGACATAGTTGGAGTTGGAAAAGTAGATTGCAGAATCAACTCTGACAATCAAAATACCCGGAACTTTCGTTGCATCCGGATATTGCTGAATGTTCCGGTAAACAGTAGTCCTCGGGAGCTTTCCCAGTATAGCAGTCCGAGGCCTTGTCACTTGCAGGAGGATTTTAGCGAATGATATCGTGACCTGCCACATTAAACGCGATAGCAAAACTCAACAATGCAAATGAGCAAATCAAATCATGAAAATAGTGAAATTTCACTATTTTATCTTACAGCGATCAAGAGGCCAATCTCAACTGAAGCAAAGACAACACCAAAGAAGGCTCCCATACAGGCAATGAAGTCTAATTTATCGATCTTCCATATGAGGATCACGGCATCAATGTCAATGAGTCCCATCACCGCAGATATAATGATAGAAGCAAGAATTGCATTCGGGGTGTACTTAAATAGCGGCGTGATCACTAACAAAGTTAGGAGGACGACACAGGACATCACTATGTTGGACACAGCTGTATTGCATCCTGCCATGAAATTCACCGCTGAGCGAGAGAACGATCCTGCATAAAATCCACAACAGAATAAGATCAACAGAAGTGAAAAAATTTGACACCATGTTTGGATTCATGAGTAATGGTGCCCCAACCGACCTGTGGCAACATAACAAGATGTCATCGAGCCAATGATGTTCATCGTTCCTAACGCTACCATTTCTTTGTTTCCATCTAGCTGATAGTCCTTCATGGCTGCAAATGTTCTACCAATCGCTACCGCTTCCTACAAATCCAAAATATTTTGTATTAGAAGCTCTATTGAATCAGACTCAAAGCGCTTGAAACAAAAAAAAAAAAAAAATTGGTTGATGGTCGAGAGATTTGCATACCGTTAGTGCTATCATTCCTGCCACCGCACCAATCCTAAAACCCTTGACAAGATATGGGCCTGTGAAAAAAATTTTATTTGCAGAGGGTGGATTCACACCTTGTTGAATATGGTTTACCTTCAAATTTCATGAAAGATTGTTAGTTTACAATTACCTGCGTCATTGAGGCAAATTTAAAAAAATAAAATAAAATAAAAGTCATTGATGAGCACTTACAATTTGAACACCATACTTTTCAGCATGGGTGATGAACACAAAAAAGGTCGAGATAATAACAGAAATCATTGGAGCAATTGCGGGCACCCAAAACAATTTCTTGTTCTTTTTCCCCTGATCCAAGAAAATCAAGAAATAAGAAGAAAGCTAGTCACGGCACAACTGAGGTATATTAAGATTGTTTGGATCATGGAAAAAGGCAATGAAGAGGTAAAAACTCTTACGATGTATTTGGTAAACAGAAGAAAAGCCAAGAAGGAAACTCCTATGAGAATTGTCTGCCAGTTCCACTGTAAAACAAAAAAAAAAACAGAAGTAACTCAAAGGTGAACTGGAGTTATGTTTCAATAGTTTCATCGATGAAGCAAAGAAATAGAGATTAGTCTTACCCCATGATGTGCTGTACTAAAAACGGAGTGCATTACAGAGACAATATCAGTCTTCTTTGTAAATTTTCGTATGCCTAACAAACCTTTAAGCTGTTGAAGAGCAATAGTAATGGCAGCTCCAGCCATAAACCCAACAATGGCAGCGTGCGAGAGAAAATCAATTAAGAAACCCAATCTGATAACAAAGCAAAATTAACCCCAGAATTTTAATGCCATACGAGTGCCCAAAAAATGGTAAATAGAACCATAATGCACACAAATTAGATGAAGGAACTGTGTCGAATACCTAAAAAAGCCTAAAGTTACTTGAGTGATGCCGGCAAAGAATGTGGCTGTGAAGGCAAGACTCAGATACTCAGGTTTCTTGTGATCAACCTCATTTTGCAGCAAGGTCCCGAGCAGAAGAGACACCACTGCCACCGGTCCTATGGCAATATCTCTTGAACTGCCCATGATGGCATACACCAGAGGTGGAACAAAGCTACTGTCTGCAATATGAGGAAAAATAGATATATAATTCACATGACTGACTTGCACTCCGTTTGTCTCAGTGAAAAACCTTTTCTAATGGAAAGTTTTGGTGGCGGGGTGGTGGTGAAAAGGCAGAGGTGGTGGTAGTGGTAGTGGTGGCATTAGTAAGGTTTTAGTGTGAAAACATTTTCCACCTTTTTTAAGTGGAAATTATTCTATCCAAATAGGTTTGTTTTCTATTAACTCCGTTATATCAAACACCAAAAAATATAAAAAAGACATTATTCGGAAAATGTTTTATGTCCAAACAAGCAGATCGTTGGGGAAGGTGCAGGTTTTTGATAAGAAACAAGATCATCTTGACTTCTCTCCAGTTTGGGTTTGAACTAGACTGAGCAATCTGAGCACCAAGATTGCGAAACGTGAACATTTTGTGGCAAACAAATGCCCAGATTTGCCAACACACTCACTTACCAGATCAGTCTATATGAACTCAATATTGAGCGTGTGAGTGGGTGGACAAATCTTGGCCTTCATTTGCCATAAAATGCTGACGTGTTACAGTCTCAGTGCTCAGAGTCTCGGATTGCTTGGTCCAGTTCAAACCCGAAGAGGAGACAAACTGTTCTCAAAGAAGAAAACTTACATAACCCATTTTGGGCTGGAAGATTTGCAAGGTTTGCATATCCAATATCCTGTTTCACAAATGTAATGAATTGTTAGAATTGTCTAAAACTAGAGACCAAAGCCTACAAAATTTTAACCAAGTTCTCTACCTGAGGAATACAAAGGCTAGCAATGGTAAGTCCGGCGATGAGATCGCCTTTGAACTTGGAGAAATTGTATTCTCTTCCCCATTTAAGAATGGGGAAAAGACTTTGGAGGCCGAGGACTAGCTTTCTCGACTTTGGTTGGTCCTTGAATGGGCGCATAGGGTCATCGTGGAAAAAAGTTTCCTTCAGAGTAGCCGTGAATTCCTTCAAAAGGTTTTGCCTCTGAGGTATTCCCACCTTGTGAACATATGGCAAGTTCTCTGAATGGTTAAGCGATGAAGGCACTCGAGTAATGTCCATCTCCCTCCCTTCTACCTTGTCAGTAACACGGCCGCTCATCGTGGCTTGACACTCATGATCACCTTTGTAACAAAAATGGAGAAAAAGATGAATTCATTGCTATCAGTAATCAATCTTCAAGTGCTTAAGAATCTGTGTTCCACTTGGTTAAGTGTCCATAGGTTATTATTCCTAAAAACAGAATCATATAGAGCTAAAAGGAGCAAATATCAAGAGAATCAAAGCAAGTTATGAGTCATGACTACTAAAAAGATTGTAGCAGAGAGAATAAAGTACCGGGAAAAACCACGTAAGAAGAGCTAAACAGTATTCTTATATGAAAAGGAACAAAGAGGCTTCTGCTTATATAAGCTCTGACACGAATACAAAGTCAAACTATTGAAAATGCAGAAAATTTGCATCATCATCAGCATAGGGGAAGTAATGAATCTAGATTGTTTACATGCCACATTCGGATTCCAAAATTTGAAATCAGGATATAAGTTATCAGACAAAGCACACTTGTATTATTTAATAAACAATGATTGCAGAAGATAAGGATTGTTTTTGCTAAATTAACTTGGCCAGAGGCATAAAATAGACTTGGGGGCGGCGTTGACTTTGGAGATTTGGAGCCCTCAGTAGGATACAACCTGCTTTATCCTCACTTATTTGTATACATAAGCAATCTCAAGTTGTACTTGGTAGTGGCTTCAAAAAACTGATAGATTAATGAATAAAATGGATGTAGTTTTTGTTCACTGTGATCAATCATTGCAAGTGCAGTGAGTCAGCGACCTTTTTTTTAAGGTTCGTGTGAACCATCACGTATCAAAATAATTAACTTTCTCCATTCTTGTTTTCTAATTCACACTTGTATTTTTCACGAGCTTACATAAAGGAACCTAAAAGTCTTTATTGATGATCTTTATAGTTGATATTAGCCTAATTGTTGTGACTAGTTGGACAAATCAGAAATGAAAAAAAAATTGGGATTTCATAATTGTTCTAGAAAAAGGGGAAAAAAAATCTTTAGGGAACTGCATTTAGTGAAAATCCAGCTGAAAAATTCAGGTGTATAAATTTGAAGAGTTTCTTGCCAAGAACTTATGAGTTGACATGAGAAGTTGAGATTTGCATTCCTCAAACACATTTATGAAGATGCAATATATTTGTTAAATAATGGGACATTTATTGATAAATCTCTCCTCACGTATCCATATTCAAATTATTTTATTTTATTCTAATAAATCCTATGGGTGACATAGTTATCAAATATCCCTAATAATAATAAGATGAAGTGTGCATTAATATTCACATTGATAGTATGAATGTTTCATGATGTGAACATTCACACTGTCATATTTATTTAATATGAATGTTTACATCACCAAGTTGTTAAGGGTTCAAAAAATATTTGTAAGAGTTAAATTGTCCATAAAATACTTTAAATATAAGAATTAGGATTGGTGGATCAAATATCGAAAATAATAGGACTTAATGAAATACAAAAATATCTTGTGGACTAAGTGAAATACAATTACTTAAAAAAAGATTTTCTAATAAATTTCCCTCAAATTCAACTATCATTTGCGAACTCCACAATCTGAAAGCAAGAGGCTAAAGATAAAATATTACAGGGGTGTTTGGGAAGAAAAAAAATAGCCTAATTTAGGCTAAAATTCACAAAAAGACAAAATAGGCTAAAATAGCTAATAAGACAAAATATCACATCAAACCCATAATCATTTCACTTTTTCTCTCACAAACATCACATCCAACCATAAAAAAGTCCAATCATCTTCCCAAACACAAAAATTTTAGCCTACTAAAATAGCTAAAAACTAAAATAACCTACTAAAATAGCAACTTTCCAAACGAAGCCATACAATCTTATCGTAAACTACAATTTTTATTAGTATTTTTTTGGGTAAATAAATCAACAAGAATGCAGTGTCTCTCAATATGATGCACATGATCATTTAAACTAAATAATGAACAAAAAACGAAAACAAGAAGGGTCAAAAATAGAGGCCACAACTAGTTGTAGCTGAATAAAAAATTTAGACAATGAAAGACCAATTAAGCTATTAATCAGTTGTTTTGAGCATTGTGAAGTTCAATTAGAGGTCTGTTTCTAGAGTCCCTTTGTCTGCTAAATTAATTAAAAAGATCAAAATGAAACAGAACACAAACATTCACTCGCATATGCACTTACCCGCAATTAATTTAACAACAAAAATCAGAGAGAGTTACAAAAAAATTCTCTTTTTTTTTTTTTTCCCTTTCTTTTCTCCCCCCACCCACAACAAGCAATTTGAATTACAATGAACAAATGAATGAACCCACTTTGATCTCACTTTTAATTGAAATTTTGATGTACTTTTCACTTTGCATGTGCAAGACATATATATGTGTGTGTATATATTATATATATATATATATTTCCATTTCCATTAGAATAAAGTCTTGAGGAATAAAATAGGGAAGGTGTGTCTCACCTTTTTCGTTGTCCTCCAACTTGTCTGGTCATATTTAAGGCATTTTTTGCATGAAAACCATCCAGAGTGGCTCAATCCTTCAACCCCACCACCAAAATCTTCACTCTTTCTGAAACTGAAAAACATAAAATATATAAAAAAATATTTTGTATCAAATAAGTTAAAAAAAACTAACAAAAATGCTTTATTCAGAAAAATAGCTTCATTAACATTAAATCTATACAGTACACCTCACTTGGAGTGGATAGTATTTTTCAAAAATTAAACAAACAAATAAATAAAAGAGTTGAAAAAAGAGCAATATAAAAAAAATTAATCATAAAAAATAATAATATGGAATCTCTGACAGAGTTGAGAGATCGAGAGAAGCAAAAGAATACCCAGGTTCCGTCCAGGTTCGTTGGATCTAACCCTTTGATTTCTATCTTTCTTCTATTTTTTAGGAATCCAAAATTATAGTAAATAAAATAAAAGAGACCTTGAAAACAAACAAGGGCCAAGACTTTTGGGCGGTAACGTAATTACAACAACGTCTCTCCAACGATTTGAATAGTCAAAAACCACACACTATAAGGATAACGACCAAGACTTTTGGAAATTAGATAAAAAAAAAATTAGTTTTTTGACTTTCTTTTTTTTTTTTTAAATATATAAAAAATAAAAATAAAAAAGTGACGTGACTTAAAAAAGTCAAAAAAAAAAAATAATAAATTATCTTTTAATCTAGTTATCAAAAGAGGTCAAAGAGAGAAGACTAACGCTGTGTTTGATTAGGAGATTTGAAAATAGAGTTGGAAAAGAGAAAAAAAAAAAAGTAGGTAAAATATGAATAAAATATAATTATATTTCACTTAATTTTATAAATATTTTTACTTTTTACTTTTTCCTTTTAAATTTATCTCCAAATTTATCACCCACACACAGTTTAAGAGAAAAAAAAAAGTCAACTAAACGTTAACCTTTTGCTAATTGAGAAGGTCGATTGATGACAATGTACAGAATATTCTATGATTCTTCTCTTCATTCTTGCCCTTTAATACGAGAGAGAGACCCTTTGTGTGTTCTAATTTTGAATGATTACATCAATAATAATTTGTTTTTAAAATTTTAATTGAGCAGAGAGCCTAAAGAAGAGGTAGGTTCAAGATTATGAAGAAGCATTGATAAAAACGACTCCATTTGTGGGATATAGGTTAAGATATAATTATAAATAAATAATTACATTTATCTTAGGATTGCATTTATCCCAAGTTTTAAATTTGAATTTAACCGTAACGCAGTAGTAGTACATGTATAACCGAATCTTGTTTTAATAATTTAAATAGTTCATTTTATAAGATCATCTATATATGTGTATATATATTTATATATATTTTGAAAAAATTAGTCTAGAGTCCCTCTCTCACTTTTCGTAATGGAAGAGATCCATAAAATTATTTTTTGATGTCTAAGGTCCTTAAACATATATCAGAGAAATTTGACTCTTTGTCTCTCCTCCTCTACTGCAGAGCAGCAATTCCTCTCTCTCTCCGAAACCCTAGAACTTCAGCTTCCCACTTCTCTCTCTCTCTCTCTCTAGAATACATACACAAATATATATATATATATATATAGCTTCAATGGCAGTGGAGCTGGATTGAAAGTATGGAACATCTGATCTCTTCGAAGAGGCCGATCTCGAGCTCCTTCGAAGCTTTAGCAACGTTGAGTGTCTCTATGATCTCTCTCTCGAAGATTTGTGTGCGAAGATCTCGTAGTTCGATGCGTTGATCGTGAGGAGTGGGACGAAAGTGACGAGGCATGTTTTTGAGGCTGCGAATGGCCGATTGAAGGTAGTGGGAAGGGCTGGTGTTGGGATCGACAATGTCGATCTCCAGGATGCTACTGAGCTTGGATGCCTTGTTGTGAATGCGCCGACTGCGAATACTATCGCTGCTGCTGAGCACGCCATTGTTCTGCTTGCTTCCATGGCTCGTAATTTCTCTGCAAGTTAGCTTCTGAATACATCAGGAAATCTGAAGATTGTGAAGACAACATATATTCGTTCTTTGCAGATGATCCAGATATGGATTCCTGAATTTTCTCTGGGTTAAAGAGAATTTATCTGGAAATGTTTCTTTAGGAATTTCATTGATTTTGAGAGAATTTCTCTGGCTTAAAGTGATCCAGAGAAATTCTTCATTCATTTTCTCTGGAAAAAATTTCTATCCAAAGAAATTCTAGACCTGAGAAATTTGAATTTTCTCTGGGTTGAACCAAGAGAAATTCATAGCATTAAGTTTAAAGAAAATCTATCACAAACTCATAGAAGAACTATTAAACATGGGAATTGTTTATATATATTATGTATATTTTCATAGATTTCACACTCACATATACCTGTACCCATGTGTGTATGTTTAATTTCATTCCTTCAATGGTTGTGCTTCTTAGTCTGCAAATCCCACTGATGTTATTGCTTGTTTTTTTTTTTTGGTAATCAGCTCGATGTTGTACGCACTTTCTGTCCTCCATCAACCACTCCTCCACCGTCTCTTCCCCCAACGTGTGCAACCACTTCTTTTCCAACTTTCTCTGAATTTCCAACAAGAGCAAAGGTTGCTTGAAGAAAGGGTTGCTACAGAGAAATTCTTCCTAGAACTTCTCTGGACCAATTTTCTCTGTGACGTGAATTTTCTCTGGACCAATTTTCTCTGGACTAATTTTTTCTGGATCAACTTGAGGGACCTTAGACATTATGAAAATATTAGATGTCCTTTATGCTATAAAATCTTAATATGAGGGACCTTAAAAAAAATCCTATTTTTTTTTTTTTTGAAAAAATTATATCATTTCAATAATTATATCTTTTTAATTTATCACATTTGTTTTTTAAATTTGAAATATGCCTCACAAGTTCCAACATGATAATTTGAAAAAAAAAACTCAATCCTTTATGTTAATGGTTACATAAAATGTTTAAGAACAAATTGTCTCTATTTGCACCGGAGGGTGTTGTTTGAGTCTTTAAAGTCGATACGGGTCTAATTTTGATAATATGAACTATTTATCTGATTGCATCTTTCGTATATATCATTTATAAAAAAATTTAAGTCGATCTTCCAACGTTCCAATTTAAACTCATTCTAAAATTAAGAAATTTTACACGTTCATATTAATTTTTTCATTTTTTTTTATACGATAGAATTATAACCAAAACAAACAAATAGGAGGGTCTCTAATCCCTTCCGTATTCAGTTCCTATCATAACTTTTAATGTGCAGATAGTGAGATCCAGAATTATGTCATTCATAAACTTAAGGGGTACTTACATATAAGTGGACTTATTGTCTACTAGGTTCTATGGAAAAAATTTATCATAAAAAAATCACTAATTGTAAGTTTTAGTGACAATTTATAAAAATTATGACAAAAAAAGTCACTAATTATTAATTTTTAGTGACATATATAAAAAATTGTCATAAAAAAATTATTTTTAACGACAATTTTACCAAGACTTATTTCAATCGGACTTGATGAGGATTAAGTTTAACTATTAAGACTTATTGGTAGTTTACCCTAAACTTAAATTGTATTCAAGTTTCATATTAATTATTTTTAAATAAGGTTTTAACAAATTAAATACAAGTCGAGTTTAAATAGATTGATTCATTTTCTAATGATATTTGTTAAGGTATATGTAAGGAGAAATTTTTGAGTGCACATAGGGGAGATGCCATGTGGTACCTTTCTCTTCTCTCATTAGTTGAGAGAGTGGAGGCTACATTTATGTGGAGAAATTTTTCTTATGTATGACAATCATATTAAAAATAAAAATGAGGCACACATTTTTTTATTTTCATTTTTTGAAACAACCAAACAAATCTTTATTGATGCTAATCAAGCAATACAATTACAAAGACCTACATCAATAAAGATAGAGCGTGCAAAAAAATCAAAGCTACACTAGCCGATCCAACTAAGTTGGCACCAACTAGCAAGCCTTATCATCTGCTAGCACCGCGCATAGTTGGAGGGAATCCAACCTCAAAAAACAACAATTTGAACAAAAAAACAGAAACACAAAGGAAAGTGCTACACTACAAAATCTTTTCAGGCAGCGAAAGTAAGAATCTCAGTACCTTACACCCTTCTACCTTTAATGCAACATCTCACTTGCCTCAGATTAAGCAAGAAATCCTGAACTGTGAAATGATGCTTTGAGTAACTTGGTTTCATCCATAATGCAATTCTCACCTTTATTACTTCACACAACTCAGCCATATAGATGCATTGAACACACAATCATTTCTAAGCTTCCAAAGAGACCACATCACAACCAGAGTTATGCCTCTCCATATCTTTCTCTCCTTACTGCTGAAGCTTTATCCATCCCACCATAAAAGTAGACCTTAAACAGATGCCGCTTGTATATCCCACCAAAAATGAGGCACATAATGTTACTTAAACAGTAAATTTGGATGAAATATTTCAATAACAACCATTTAAACTAAACATCTAATACAACCCTTCTAAAAGATTGACAATTGTATTGAAATTGAATGATTGATCTATATTATCTAAATATTATCAATGTGGAATATTATTTGGGAATGAGACAGCCTATTTGATTTTGTTTGACATTATAATAATGGAATGGGCGATAAAATAAACGGGGGCCCTAAAAAATTGCTAATCTATTGTAAAGACTAAAAAATTTAAATAATTAGAATATTTTAACAACAATATTAATGTTTTTTATTTTTATCTTCATTGTCTGGTGCTATATTGTTAGCATAGGCCGGTTAATGGCCCCCATGCCTGCAAACACTTTGGATAGTTGTTTTGTGGACTTATTGTATTTTACATATTTTTTATTTTTATGTTAACCTTTCATTTTCAAAGGAGGGTTGCAGTACACACGCGGGTGCATATTATAGACATCTCCTTTTATCCTTTGATTCATAATCAAAATTATTTGAGGCATAATTAAGCACCACTTTAAGACAATCTGAATTTTGAGCCATAATTAAAATCATAATTTAAAACATAATCAAATATCGTTTTAGGTCATAACTAAATTCTATTTTAAGTAGTAATCTAAGCAGCCCCACTTTAATTTGATCATAGGTGGGTCCAACACTATTTTTTGACATAGCAAACACTATGGAATATAAAACTTGCATATTATATGTGTATTACAGAATTAGAGTGTTCTATAAACTTTTGTGTATGAATCTCATGTCAAAGAAGTGAAACTCATTTTGAACATTTTGCTTTTTGCTCTTGCTTTTGGTGTTTATGGAATAATGCAAGATTAAGTTTTCAATTCATGGGGATCTCCCTAATCCAAGGGCGGTCCACAAAAGCGTATGTTTGGTAGCAAAGAAAAAGAGATATATATATATATATATATATAATTTGGATTATTAATCTAAACCGGACTAATAATCCCATGAAATGAGTGAAAATCAATATTACCCATGTTAGTTATTCCAAAACAAGGTCTACTTGTCTACAACAAGATGAGATTTCGGAACACACTGTTAACTGTCAAAAATAATTAGTCATGTTATCTTATTATTTATTTTCTTTTTTTTGGTTACATCTTATTATTTATTTTCACTCAATTAAACATAGCACTAGAAATCTCATATGTTCAATTTAAACTCATGGTATTACATAGTTTGTATTATCCAAGAGATTACTTATCCATCTAGTCTAATCATGTAAGCAAATCTTTAACTACATAAAACCCTTTTAAAATGTGAGATCAACTACTTGTGGATGATGGAAATTATGGACATAGAAACATAATTCTAGAGGATAAGAACTACACTTTGCTTGGTTTGAGTTTTCTAAAATACTTTTCAGAAAATTCTACTTTCCTGCTATCACTCCTAGGCTAGTAATGTCTTGAGACATGCTATCAGCATCAAGCATTAGCCTTTACTTGTAGAGGGGAAACTTCTTTCAAAGGCTGCTATCACCTTGGCAGGATGTTCCCTCCGCATGTTAGTTGCAGCGGCTGTAGTTGCAGAGGTAATCATTTCCTGCGAGAAGTTTAAATGGCAGAACCAATAATATTAGAGATGGCAGGGGCAACAAAATGCCTCCGCAACTTGGGCACTGCAAGTACTGCATTTGCAACTTAGTTGTTTGGTTTTTTCCTTCCCTCAACAAATCCAGGTAACTGTAGTATCGACAATACTTGGAATGGTGGCGTTGAGACAAAGTGCCTCCGCAATTTGGCCGTTGTAAGTGTCGCCCTTGCAATTTAATTGCTTCACCTCCCTTTCCCTTAGCAGCTTCAGATTGCAGTGGAACCAACAATATTGAGAATGGCGACGCTGAGGTAAAGTACCTTAGCAACTTGACCCCTGCAAGTGTTGTCTCTGCAATTTTACTTAGGCATTTTTCTTCGTGGAGTCTATTCGGGTCCTTGTCGGGTTGGACCTGCTTCGGCCTATTGTTGGCCCACTTCCCTTGGGCTTTAGCCTGTGCTTCTTTAGTCATTTCTGGTTGCCTTAAAGGGATGACCTCAGCACTTAGGCCCATATTTAATTTGGAGCTTAATTTTTGACCGTCTACAAAATCCTAGGTTTTCAGTTCTCATTACGATTCTCACCATTTAATTCAAAAAAAAGAAACTTTAACCGAATTAAATTTCGAAATCCTAATTTAATTAAATACTACACTTACATAAATGTTTTAATTCATAAATTAAACCCTTAGCCCTCACATTTTACTTGAATTACAAATTAACTCCAAGTTAGTACCGATATATATACATACTTGTATCAATTTTCTTAAATAAATAAGTTTGAACATGATGATTTTTATAAAATATGCAATTATACACAAAATAAATCAATGAAATCCATCCAAGTCTAGATGATGGCTAGCCACCCCTCCGTAGGATACACATAGGATGTACAAATGGGATATAATCTCTTACATCATGGAAAGAAAATTCCGACTTTGGTACCAATTATAGATATTGATCATAATTAATTACATAAATAAGGTCCTAATCATCCCTCATTCCATTATATTCAAACTAAATTAAAATACTATTTAATTAAATTAGAACCAAGGGCAAAATAGTCTTTTTACCACTTTTTCTTATAAATATACCACTCATCCCAACTTGTTGAACACAGATATACACTCGCACACTACGCCCGCAGTTGAGAGAGTTTGAATTTTTTTTTTTTACTGATTTTTTTAATATTTTAAGCAAAAATTTTTTTTTACTTTTAAACATACCTAATATAAATACACTTAAAAAGTATAATTTTTGTGAAAAAATCTTTAAAAAATTCACTAAATACCAAAAATATAAAAAAAAATACAAAAATTCAGTTCATTTTTCGTATTTTTGTGTGTTTATTAATTTTTAAAAATATTTTTTGACAAATATTTTACTTTGTAGACATATTTAAATAAGATGCATATACAAAAGTAAAAAAATGCTTAAAAATTTAAAAATATTTAGTAAAAACAAAAAAATACGAAAAAAAACTCAATTTTTAAAAAACTTAATTCAAAAAACTTAAATCAAACACACTGATTAAGACTTCGATTATTGTAGAATCTTCTTCACAATATAGTCCAACGAGGGCAACCATTTCTTTTAAAGTTTTGTTTGGTTGGATTTACATAATTTAACTTTTGTTTTGTTTTATTTTTGGAAAAATTAGTCTAAGGTCCCTCTCCCATTTTTAGTAATGGAAGAGATCCACAATATTATTTTATAATGTCTAAGGTCCCTCAACCCCACACCCATGTATTACAGAGAAGTTTGACTCTCTCAAATCAACTCATCATTTTCAATCTCATGATCATCATGTTGCTGACTCTGGCGAATCGAAGACAGAAGAATGGAATCGCAGTGGATCGAGAGCGCCGAAACGAAGGCTCGGTGTCGCTAAGGTTCGCCATTGCTGTAAAGCTCTCTCTCCAAGCTGTTTTCTAGGTTTATAATCCTTAACTTCAGGAATCTCCGTATCTTACTGCTCAGTGCCATTTCTTTGAGCACAGAGCTTCTCAGTATAATCATCAGGTAAGGAAACCCGTATCTTCCTTTTCACTTCCTCCTTATCTGTTACAGTAACATATTGATCAAATTACTTCATATTTCCTAGTAACAGGATGAGCAATTTTGGGTTTGAAAACAGAGCACAAGAAATCAAAGAAAACCAACAATCACAACAATGGAAGCAACACTAATAAATTGGGCGATTCATTGAAGAGGAAGCTACTAGGGCTTGAGAGAGAAGTGGTGGTGCAGAGATCATTGGTGAAGGGCAACGGAGAAAGCTGGGGGAGGAAGAGCAAGCAGTTGTGTTGTTGAAGTATTTTGGTGAACTTGGAGAAGATTGCTCAAAAGAAGTCAATGAAATCTGTTTGATTGCTGAGAAAGTGCAGGAAAACTAACAGAAACTAAAATTCAAAAAACTTTTCAAATTTTTCATGAACACTACTTCAGTTAGTGAATCTAAAACGACATACATACTTTGATCTTTTTCCCTTATTGTAATTTTTTTATTCATATGATTCTAAAAATCTCGCTGATCAAAATAAATAAATAAATAATTATGAAAATCTCATAAAAGTGTTTGTTATGACATGCTACTTTTATATAATTCAAAGTTTAATCTTTCGTGAGTTCCTAACTGTACATAATTATGAGTAGATTTTATCCTCTTAATGCTTTTGTACCAATTCGAAGAAATTTGATTTCCACTAATTGTTTTAATTCCGGCAGCAAGTGAGGGTGTGGTTTTTTTTGTTAGTGGAGTACATGAAGGCGTAGAACATGAGGATCTACTGAACATATTCCTTAAATTTGTCCATTTTTTGTGTATCTTTTTGTGAGTTTCTCTGAGTTTTTGTGATTTTCTCTAGGAATTTATCAATGAATTTCTTTGAGTTTTTGTGATTTTCTCTGGGAATTTATCAGTGAATTTCTATAAATTTTTGTGATTTTCTCTGGGAATTTATCAGTTGACTATCTGGGAAGTCACAACCTTTACATTTCAAATTCCTTTACAACTGTTTCACTTTTTTATTTCAAATTTCAAATCTTTATAGCTTCTTCACTCAAACCCAGAGAAAATTCAGAGAAAATTCAAATTTCTCTGGGTTCATTTTGACTAATTTTCTCTGAGTTTTCAAATTTCTCTAGATTCATTTTGACCAATTGAAGGCCGGTGAAGTCAAATTTCTCCGGAGATGTAATTTTGTGAAAGGCAGGGAAATTTCTTTGGAAGAGTGGGAAGTATATGAAAGGCAGAGAAATTTGGAGAAGGAGGGCAGAGAAATTTACAATAGAAAGTTTAGGAAAAGTCAGAGAATTTTTCAAAATTTCTCTGAAAGTCCAGAATTTCTCTGGACCAATTTTCTCTGTAACGTGAATTTTCTCTAGATCAACTTGAGGGACC